ATTATAGGAAGATTTTCAAAGCATCTATCTATATGAAGATTTCGATCATCGTTACTATTTACATTGCAGAAAATGATAAAAAAAAGAAGAATTTCATGCACTGATATTTATTCAATGTGTGTCTTAGTTGGCTTAAGGTAGTCAAGTTACTACAAGTGATACATGTCAACACATGAGTTAAACAGTTTATAAACAAAAATTAAGTTTTAGATGACAGTTAATTTTTATATATATCAAGTTAGTAAATTTTTAAATTAAATAATAATGCATTTTTGAAAAAATAACATACATATTTTTATGTAGAAAAAAATGTCTAAAAAAATCTCTAATTATCCACATCAACAAAATTCCTTATAAACCCAACTTGAATGAAAAACTAATATGGTTTTTTTTTACTGGGTTAAGAGACTCCTTTAAAAATAATATAATATATATTATTAGTTTAATTATAAAAGCTCATCAAAATTATATGTGTAGTTTAAGAAAAAATGTTTAAGTTAAATTACAAGCAAAAAATTTTACATCTTTTGAGTTTTGAGAAACTCAACATACTTTATTTAACATAATGAGTTAGTATGAAATTGTATTTGTATATGTATTACTTGCCTTATTCATCTATATTTTTTATAGTTTACGTATACTTCATAAATCAAATCAAAATTGTATTTTATCAATATGATTGTGATTTTTTATACTATGTAAATATTGTATTTATTTATATGAATCATAGTTATTTTATAGATTTATAAGAGATTAGAACATTGAGTGTTGTTTGTATTTGAGATTGCTAATTAAATAAAAACACTATATGAACATAGTTGAAATAAAAATAAAAATCTAAATTAATTGAAACAATAATAATCAAATTTAATCAAAACAAAAATAATTTTAATGATATTTTGAAAGTTAGTAGTGAATAACAGTGAGTTTATATACAAATATTAAGTTTTAGATTAACAGTTAATTTTAGCATATATCAAGTAGGTAATTCTTAAAATTATATCATGATACATTTTTTGAATACGTTAAAATATTTTTGATGTATAATCATATCAAAACAATTTTAAAAATTAAATATTATATTTAAAATATTAACTTAAAGTGAAAATAATTTAACTTAAATAATAATCAAATATCTATATAAAAACAATCCGCGCGTAGCGCGGAAACATCCCTAGTTTTACTTACAAAAACCAATCAATGTCTTCTCAGTATGACCAATCACCAGATCGGCTTCTTGTTAGCAATAACAGCTTCAACTTCTTTCACCAAACTCTCCACTATTTGCTTATGAGAAAAAATCTGATATTTCCGGGATAAGCATCTCTATTTAATATCTTTTTTCCATAACATTACTAATCTAATCATGAATCAATAATATTCCATTATTTTATTTCAGACATAAGTAAACTCCTTCTCAAGCAATTTAGTTAGGGCAATCAAGTTCTAGTAAAGATGATTTTTTCTGCTTTCTATTTTTAATTTTGAAAACAAACACTACAAGAAAATAGCCGAAATCCAATGATCAAATCCGTCAGAAATCCGTCAGAAAAGACATTTTCTGATGGATTTGACCGTCGGGTAGAGATCGTCGGAAAATCAAAATCCGTCGGAAATCTGTCAGAAATTTCTGACGGCATTGATCCGTCAGAAATTTTCAACGGATGTTCCGACGGATAACTGTTCCGACAAAATTCCAATGGATAACAGTTCCGACAGAATTCCGATGAATAACTATTCTGACGGATTTTCGACGGATTACATTTTTGACGGATTTCCGACGGAATATAAAAAAATATAAAAAATTAAAATTAAAACTAGAACAATTAGTTAGAAGCTGAGGAGGAGCGGATTTGGAGAAGGGGGGCGGAGTTGGAGGAGGGACTGAGTTAGAAGAGGGTATTTCAGAGGATTTTCCTAAGTGTTTGTTGGGGAAGAGATAGTGAGGCTAGGGTTTTAAAGACAATTTCCGACGGATATTCCCGTCAGAATTCCGTCAGTTTATTTATTAATTTTAGTATATTTATCTGTCTGTCGGAAATCCGTCAAAAATTTCTGACGGATTTCCGACGGGTTAATTAATTTTTTTAAAAAATTGCAAACATTTGTGTTCTATTTGATTTCCGATGGCTTTTCGACAAATTTTTCTGACGGATTTAATGTCGTCGAAAAATTCTGACATATTTCCGACGGACAATACCGTTGTTTTCAGTTTCTGACGGATTTCTGACAGATATTTTCGTTGTTTCCAGTTTCCGACGGGTTTCCGACAAATGCAATATCCTGTTAGAATTCCGTCGGAATGCCGTCAAAAAATTTCTGACGAAAATTTTTCCGTCAGAACGTCTGTCGGAATTCGACCTGTTTTCTTGTAGTGAAACGTCTATATATATATATCTATATAGTCATATAGATACACATATGTAGCTCAATTTTTGGAAGAAATATCATAAGATCCTAGAGGTCATATATAGCTCAGTTAAACTTAATAAACGAAAAAATGGTTCGGGTGAGTGAAACTTTCATTGTAATATGTTAAAAAAAAAAAAAAACCTTTGATTGTGACACATCATCTTTGCTGTCCAATATTCCATTTATAATTTTTATAGTTTGCGAGGACGGAAGCTCCGAAACTCTAGTAATGTAGTTTTATTAGTTCACATTAATTTACAGATAATGCTAAAGTTAGTTTGAAGATAATATTATTATTAATCAGACCATAATCACGAAGATATGTGTGAGCCGTACATATAATTAAGAAGGGGCCCAAGGATCAATTTTGATATATATGATTCGACTTCTTTTTTTTTTTACTTTTTTTTGGTGGCACTATATGATTATATCGTAGTTTTGTAGTTTTTCCTCTATTTTTTTGCATGAAATGTAGTCTTTCCTCTATTTTTTTGAATAAAATATAGTTAATTCCTTTATGTTTATATAATTCACAAGATGTTCCACCCTAAACTTCGTAATTTCAAATAACTATTTGCCGCAGTGTTTTTTTAATTAAGCTGATTTGATTAAAGAGCTTGCCTAACTAAATCTACTATTGATACAACTCAAGGTCACGCCTATTTCCTTTTTGTCTCCCACTAATTATATTACCCTCAAGTTCTATAAGGACTGTTAGAATAATCCAACTTGAATACCGAATACGTATACTCCTACATTTGGTTCCACCGCCGGGCCAACCCACAAGGTCGAAATTCGTTTTCCGGTAATATTTGGTATATTTTGGTTATTTTGTTGTTTCAGATTTTTGATCAGATTTGTTTATTTTCGAAACCGGGTTAGAATATTAAAAAACCGGTTTGGATATATGGATTTTTCGAACGATCTGCAGTTCGAAACCGAATGAAATCCAAAAAGCAAAAGTTTGGTTTATTTCCACTCGATTAGGATTTTATGTCCAACCAGGCAGATATATTATAGTATAAACAAACTAATAAGAGTATTGTTTTTGGTACTAACACCATCCATTCCGAATTAATTAGTGGATGCTTTAGAACTTCTAAAAGAAAAATTATATGACGTTTTTAATTTTTAATATAGAATTTACTAGTTTATCTATACTGTTAAAACAAAAGCATTATTTTGAATTGTCCAAAAGCTATCAAAATATTTACTAAATGTGTCATTATATTTACTAGACAATTTTATTAATTCATTAAGGATAATATTGTTTAATTATAAATACACAAAATGATGTAGGTTTATATTGAATTTCATTGTAATAGGCTTAGTAGTTTTTAATGAACTGTACTGATTTACTGATTTTGAGTTTTGATCTTATAAAAAGAAGATTAAGAAAAAACAAATTCATAAAAAATAAAATTTTAGAAAATATGTTACAAGATTTCATAGATACAAAATATATCTAATATTCTGTACAAACAATTTTTTAGGAATCACATGATTTTAAGAAAAAATATATAATATTTTGTTAAAATATGCGATTATAATTTTTTTTTTCTTAAATCGATTTTTCATTTTCTTTCTATTTCAATCAAAATATTTATTCTTACAATATCTCATATTCATATAACAATTCTTCCTAGCGTAAGATCTTGCAAAATAAAGATCTTTTAGGTGACCAGTATGTTGATATATTTCATGAAAAAAACATAGTTAGCAATGATTTATATAGTTTTATGCAGGTTTGGTTATGAGAGTTTGTTTTTCCTATGAATACAAAAAATGCTTGTGTTTTGTTTCTGTCTTCTTATGTTATGACAAGACAAATTTTGTTTGTGATATTAATGTCGATCTTTAAAGTAGATCCTACATGAGTGTGGAAGCAACTGAATAATTTTAGAGAAACAATGAAATTAAGAAATATTAGTGTGTTTTATTGTTAATCAATGTATATTAGTTTGATTATATTTATCATTAAAAATCTAACTATACACCTTAAACTTTGATTTTTGTGAAATAAGTAAATTACCTAAGATGAATTGATGTTGAAGCAAGAATAATGGTCTTATTTCCCACAGAAATCTTAGACTGATTATATATAATTTTCTTATGTTATACATAATATTATACCGATTGAATATAAAAAAAGTTATTGCAAAACTACATAATTTACGAATATAAATCTGCTTGAGTTTTTTTTAACATATTTCTTCAGCTATTCCTTAAGAAAATTTACATAAATACTGCTTGAGTATTCACATGTGTCTTATTAGAATTACTGACTTAATTTTTTTATTTCTATTATGAAAATACATAATATGAGGGTAAACAATATTTTTAAATCATCAAATCCGTGCTAAGTACAAATTCAAAATCTAGTTAAGTTTTATAACCATTTTTATTTTATTATTGTTTGAATTAAAGTTTAGATAGTGTATAAAATTAATAACTACTCCCATAACACTAGGAGACTTCAGCTCTAACTGGTGACTATAAGGAATGAAAACAGAGTTTAGTGTGTCGCTTGGTTCCTCATTTTAAAAGAAAGACCGTGGAACAAAAGACTTGGGCCGAATGGGCTAACTCGTGGATACATGGGTTCGATAACCCAACTCCTAAATCTATTTACCCAAAAAAACTTTATTTTTTTTTGGGTTCAATTAGGGTTTTTAATATGATGAGCCGAAGGTTTTAGTTTTTGTCAGTTGCTTCTCTTTCTCTCCTGCCGTCTTGTGCAAAATCCTTCACTCAGCAACAATGGCAAAGAAGCGAGATCGAATTGTCAACACACAACCTTTCATCTCCGATGACGCATCCGTCGCTTCTTCCAGGAAGCGATCAAAGGTTCCCAAAACCCATCAGAAGCTGGAGAAGGTGAGTGAAAAATTTCACGACGTTCATAAATTTCTTCAATCTTCATTGTTTAACCTTTCCAGAATGCTCAATTGATTGGGGATGCTAATAATTCTCCCTTTTTTTTCTGGGTTTCTACAGCTGATTGAAGCTGGTATGAGCTCGAAGATCATGAAGGTAGCTCTTGACCAGCAAAAGGAAGTCGAAGATGAAGAGAACGCCGAGAGAAACCCTATTAGCACCGTGTTTGCTGCTGCGGCCGCCTCTACCGCGAAAGAGGAGCAGAAAGTGCTGGAGGAGGAGGAAGATGATATTGGTGATATTGATGAGTTTGATGGAAAATTCGAAGAGGATATCTATCAAGTGAGTACCTTTATTCTCTCTAGTCTTTATTTCTCCATTTCTGTTTCAACGTTAATGCATTTTAGAGGTTAGCATTAGTTCAAATCGAATTGCTTCGAACGAAATGATCTTACATATAAGCTACAGGTTTCGTTGATTCTTCATGCTCATGTTTAGTTAAAATCCGACGCTGAGAGCTTTAGATTGAATTGCTTAGGACGATTCGAAATGATTCCTTCTTTTGTGTTACAGACTTGATTGATTCGTCTTCATGCTCATGTGTTGTATTGTGAATCAGGAGGATATCAATGAGGAAGACGAGAAGCTGTTCGAGTCATTCTTTGTTAAGAACGCTCCTCCTCAGCGTACTCTCGCTGATATCATCATCAAGAAAATCAAAGATAATGATGCCGACTTAGCTGAAGGTTTGATACAGATTTTTTTCATTTGTGGTTTTGCTTCTATGGCCTTTGTTTGATTATTGCTGATAACTTTGCTGATTGTAAAAGCTCATACTTTTTTCTGTTGTTGCAGAAGAGCGTCCCGATCCGAAAATGGACCCTAAGATAACTAATTTATACAAAGGGTAAATGTCTTGTTCTTTTTTTTTTTATAATCTGTTGAGATTCATCCGAATTTATGAAGCGTTTCTCACACTTCTTTGATGATGTTACTGATATGCAGTGTTGGCAAGATTTTGAGCGAATATACGGTCGGGAAAATGCCAAAGGCATTCGTGCTGATTACTAAAATGGAACGTTGGGAGGATGTATTATACTTGACCGAGCCAGAGAAATGGTCACCTAACGCAATGTATCAAGCCACAAGACTCTTTGCTCACCACTTGAAAGACACTCAAATCCAACGGTTTTACAACTACGTTCTGCTTCCCCGAGTGAGAGAGGATATTAGAAAGAACAAGAGGCTGCACTTTGCTCTGTACCAGTCTCTAAAGAAGTCGCTCTACAAGTCTAGTGCATTCAACAGAGGGATACTATTCCCGCTTTGTAAGGTATATATATATATAGTCCTCCTTCAGAACCTCTCTAAAAACACAGAATGTGATTAGTTTTCTTACTAGCTCCTTGATTTATTTTATTCAGTCGGGGACATGCAATCTCAGAGAAGCTGTAATTTTAGGGAGCATTCTCGAAAAGTGTTCTATCCCTGTGCTTCACTCATGGTATGCGTATAAAGAGTTACATAAACAGAACATATCTTACAGTTTTTAGATTATTTCGTTACCATTGTTACTAATTACTTTCCATGAACTTCAGTGTTGCTCTGCATCACCTAGCTGAGATGGAGTATTGTGGTACAACAAGGTAAACATCTACTATTCTATAGACTTCTTTAACAGGAGAGATTCGGAGAATATCTTGCTTTCTCTGTGACATTGTGATTGCTGATGATATTTTTTTTATGCAGCTACTTTATAAAAACTCTTTTGGAGAAGAAGTATTGTATGCCGTATCGAGTGCTTGATGCATTGGTTGCTCACTTCATGAGATTTGTCGACGAAATAAGAGTGATGCCTGTGATTTGGCACCAGTGTCTTCTTACTTTTGTGCAGCGGTAACTTTGTTTTTACACAAATGTTTTGACAAATCAAGCAATAACTTATCTACCTTGAAGTTGTTTAGTAAGCTGTTCAAGACGATGTGTAGGTACAAGTACGAACTACTAAAGGAAGACAAAGAGCATTTGCAAACTCTCCTCAAGAGGCAAAAACACCATCTTGTAAGACTTCTCTTAGCTTTAAAAAATGAAACTATTTTTTTTGTATTGTGTACATCACACTTATTCGGATTTTTAATGCTAATTATAGGTTACACCTGAGATTCTTAGAGAGCTTCAGGGTAGCAGAAACCGTGGAGAGAAAGATGATCCTATGTTGACTAATTATATCCTTTTTTAATATCTTCTTACTTTTGTTAATGTGATTTTTACATCTGATTTATGTTATGTTATGTTATGTTATATCCTTGACTTGCAATTCACCTTCCTCAGTTTCTATAATCAACAACCCGATTAAAGAAGACAGGTTTGACATTCCAGAAGTGCCAATGGAAGAGGACTGATGCTTCTGACAGTGTGTTTGGTTTTTTTGGAAGGACAAAGATAAATCTGAAATTCCCAGTTTTGTTATAGCTATTTGCTTGATTTTATGTAAGAATTGAATCTTTATTACATGATAGTGTGAATCTTTAAACATTGTTTAATCTTTGTTGTCATACAAAGTCTCTTATCAATTTTGTTTTCTTCATTTTTCAGTCATCAGTATTTTAGTTATAAATTGTATTCGGAAAAATGAGTTTTTTTCAAATTTGAAGTACAATAATAGATCTACATTATATTGAAATCTTTGAAATTTTGAAGTTCCAATGATATTATTCCGTAATGATGGGCTTTTTTTTTTGTATTTTATAGTTCCCAATGCCCAAACAACGTCACCGCAAAATTACGGTCCAAAAAAAGAGTTGTCTATTTTAGGTTTGTTTAATAAAATAATAATAATAAAAAAATTCGTGATATTGATTAGACGACACTAAATGTAGTTGATGTCATTTAGCACGAATTTCAAAAGATTACTGTAGACTCTAGTATTTTATTTTTGTCTCTCACCAGCGGCGCTAATGCATGTCCGTTGAATTTCAATCCCTCTCTGGTTAGCCTTTTGAAAATTTGTAAGCTTTTATTTTCATCTTTTGTCAAATCAAACCCTTTAACTAAATCACAACCGTCTATTTTACATAATTAACTCTACAATATCCTACGGCTGTAATTATTTGGCATTGTCAACAAAAATATTCCTCCACAATAAATGTTGTCAGCTCTGACACCATCACCCAAACCCCATTCCTCTTCTACTACTTTTCTCTTCTTCTTCCTCTTCCTCTTCCTCAACTTATCTCAGTTATTTTACCATAGTTACTGTGTATATGTATGTAATCTCAGCTGTACGGACGAATGTGTTTTCTTTCTGAAGCTCTCTGAATATACTGTATTCCGTATCGTCCTCTTCTCTGGAACTAGCTTCTCAAATTGAGGTTTCTGTTCACCTTCCTTCACTAACTTTCTTCCCATAGATTTAGGTCTGCTTATTTATAGTCCAAATCCATCTGAAACTTGGAATTTCACATCTCTTGTGTTTAAATTTTGATCTCAGTTCTTGCAATCAGTTAAGCATATAATTTTTTAGCGTAATGTTGTTCTTCAGGCTAGTTTTCAGCTCGATCTGATTTCCTTAGGCTCACATTTTTCGATTTTTGTTTCTCTGCTCTCAAATTTGTTGAAAAGAGTTATTTTTTTCTTTTTCTTTCCGTAACCTTCTTCTGAACTTTGTTTAAGAAATTGGAAATTAAATTCAGATGTTGCCTTTTTAAGTACCTAAAGCACCTCTTTTTGGTAAAAGCTTTACATCATTACTTTCCTTAAAAGTATTATTAGTACCTCAAAAAATCTGATTAGTAAACAATAACAACCCAATCTTCATTGTACAGTGAAAAAATTCTTTTCTTCTTGTCCCTTTGTGTCTGGCTAATTTATATTCTAAAAAAATTAGATCATGGTTTGTCTTCTTCCATGATACATTGGTGCATAGTGGTTGTCTTGCAGGTTCTTGATAGTTTGGTAATAAAGAAACCAACTTTAAAACAAGTCATTGTTCTTTAAACATTACATGTTTAATTTCTCTTGCCATCTAAATGACAATGCTACACTCTCACCATTTTTTTTAATGCTATTATTTATGCAGGGACCAGGTGGTTGGTATATTTAATATCACCTGATTAAGAAGGAAACACTGGTTTTTTTAGCAATAAAGAAGGAAAACAAAAATTAGATTTTGTTTTCTCTAAAGGAACTTCAAAAGAAGAGAAGAAGTTAGGATGATGCTGATGAGAAGAAGATTGGCTTGCTGCAGCAGAGAGAGGGAGATTAGCATGGATTTCGATGAGCAAGATAGTAAGTACTAACTAAAGCAATCTTTTTAAACTAATGATGCTTACATAAACTCTGAATGAATATTAGACCAATTACAATTAAGTGACCTTTTCTTTTAGCTTTTAGGTATTTCATTTACGGGTGTTTATTGCTTACACATGATATGGAATATTTAGACTGTAACTGTTGGGTATAGTTTTCAAAGAAAAGTTGAGTGGCCACTGCATTTGTCTTGTGACCGGTTTAGGATTGGTATGGGACCAAATATCAGAGACTTAAAGATCTACACCAACCCGGTCATTCATGTAATAAATAAGGCGTGAAGTCTGTAGCTTTCCACGCGACATCAATGCATATACACATTCAATTTGATGCGAGAGCATTTTTCTGTGATTCAATGTCATATATCTTAAGACCAAACCCTGTTTCTTTGGATGTGGGGTTTAAGAGTTAGGGTCCTCTAGTGTTTTTCTTTCAGTTTGTTTAAAGATCACATTGATTATATTTATTCAGAAACTGCCAAGAGCAGGTAGTTATAGCACTAAACATATTATTTTCTTGATAAAAAAACTGAACTGAAGTAAAATGTGGATTCATAATTAAATAACTTCACGAGGAAGAAGAATACACACATGCTCTTGAATTTTTCTCACTTGTCAGTTTCGTATGCGACTTGCATAAATCTTTCATTTTTCAAGGGTAGTAGCTAGTAGATATGATTAATTTAATCAAATCACTGGTGTTTGATTAAACAGTTTTTTGTAATATGCTTGTGAGCGTTTGAAAAATGTCATGTGATTAAAAGTCTTCGTGGTGGGTCCGTCTGGAGTTTTCATCACATGGGGATACTAACTCATTTTTTTATACATTCCCTTAAAGAAAGGAAGAATTTAAATTTGTTTTAGCAGTCTTGGGTTAACAAAAGTCTTGACTTTAGCTCTTAAAGACTCGTGGAACACAGCGACTTTGATTCCTCTTGTAGAACACTAGTCTCTGCATAAACAAACGTTTGTGTGATACCATTTTTCTTGATTCACATTTGATTAGTGAGACAAAGAAGTCGATGTGCCAGGTGGAGTTTTCTCTATTGTCAGATTCTGAACGGTCTCTTAATGATAATGTTGATTTTTTTTTTAATAAATTAGTTTCCTCTCTTTAGCTATCTCTCTCTGTTTTGTGTTAGTTCTTGATGACACATTGTGTACCTCTTCTCTTTCAGGAATGATTACATACGACGGCTTGGAAACCTGTATTATCAACAATCAATCATATGAAGAAGAAAGTGGAACAAGTCGAGGAGATGGATGCCTTACAGATTCGTTGGACGATGATGCGTTTTCAAGCTGTTCATCAAGCAAAGACGCATCAAGCTCTTTCTCTTCGAAATGGTTACCGACGAAGAACGATGAACACAGCTGCGATGATTCGAGCTTATCTGGAAGGTCAAAACATTTCGATGCTAAGGAGAAACCAGGCTACGTCTACTGCCATTTGGATGTTGAAGCCATGAAGGAGAAGTTTTCTAAGCTTTTGCTCGGAGAAGATGTCACAGGGGGATGCAAGGGTATACAAGTAGCTTTGGCTTTGTCAAATGCTGTCACACATCTTGCTAGTATGTCCTAATATCCCCTTACAACCTAAAGCTCTATGTTCTTGTGGTATGTCTACTAAGTTTCTTGGATTTCCAGACTCGATATTTGGCGAGCTGTGGAAGTTAGAACCATTGTGCGAGGAGAAGAAACAGAAATGGAGAAGAGAAATGGATTGGCTACTTTCTCCAACTAACTACATGATTGAGTTAGTCCCTTCTAAGCAAAATGATGCTAATGGAAGATCACTTGAGGTATATGCAGCTAAGTTTGTGTGATTCTCCATAGGAAGAAACAATACTGAAAGTGAAATCTCTTGTTTTAACAGATAATGACTCCGAAAGCTCGTGCAGATATTCATATGAATCTCCCAGCTCTACAGAAACTGGACTCTATGCTTATTGTAAGTCATTATCCTCTTGTTTGTTCTTACTCTTGTTTTTTTTTTTTTTTTTTAACTCATGTGGTAAAATGTTCATTGAACAATTCACAGGAGACACTGGACTCAATGGTGAACACAGAGTTTTGGTATTCAGAAACTGGTAGTAGAGCTGAAGGGACGAACAAGACTACAAGCGAGAGCAAGAGATGGTGGCTTCCATCGCCACAAGTGCCTAAACCTGGCCTCTCTAACTCAGGAAGGAAGAAACTGCTCGACATAGGAAAAGTTGTTTATCAAGTCTTCAAAGCTACAAAAGCCATTAACGAAAACGTTCTTCTTGAAATGCCAGTTCCTGCCATTATCAAAGAAGCAATACCCAAAGTAAAGCTTTTGGTCTCTTTGTCCCTTGTGAATACTCTTGGTGGAAAAAACTATCTCTAAAGTCTTTGTGTTGTAACAGTTTGGAAAGAACAGCCTCGGTGATGAACTGTACAAGATGTTGGCTGATGAATCCGCAACAGTAGATGAAATCTTCATATCTCTGAAGCTGGGGACAGAACATTCTGCGCTAGAGACAGTTAACAAGCTAGAAGCTGCTATGTTCGCGTGGAAGGAAAAGATTACAGAGCAAGCAAGCAACAGTAGATCCCCTGTAAGAACACCGTGGTCATTTTCTAAAGATCCATTGTCTGAAATTGGTCGAAACGAGCCGCTCTTGAACCGAGCTGAAGCGCTTAGAAACCAGATCAAATCCAAATACCCTAATCTCCCTCAGTCGTTTATCGATGCCACGAAGATTCAGTACGGCAAGGTACAGAACAAAAACTACATCTTTCTTGCTCCCATGTTCCTGAAACAATCTCATAGTTAACAATTACAATCTTTCTCCTTCTCTGTTTTTATCAGGACATTGGTCATGCGGTTCTTGAGGCATATTCAAGAACACTGGCGAATCTGGCGTTCAGGATTCTTTCAAGAATGGGAGAAATCTTGAAAGAAGATTCTTTAAGTAACCCTAACTCTCCTGCGCCGCCGAGTTGCTTCCCTAGCTCACGTGATCTTTATAGAACACCTGAGAGGCCTTTGCTTTCGTCACGTGTAAGGCATTCTCTCACAGATGACATGAACAAAGCCGATGGGACGGAGACCGGTTTAGAGTTTTTGTTCGCAGATGGTAAGGCCGGTTCGGTGAATACAACTCCAAGTAGAAGCAGTAGATTGTGGTGTATGAGTAATAAAGTGCCGCCTGATGGTTCTCCTTGATTTAGAGGGCTTTGCTTAGTTCGATTTCGATGCGTGCCACCTGAAGCTTCTCCTTTGTTATTTATTTTAGAGGGTTTTAAATTATGGAGCCTGAGTTATTGTAAATGTATCATCAACGTGCACTTAAAGTCTGAATGACTACATGCAATTTTGTTCATAACTTTCACGATGATCAAAGATGTGTTTATTCAGAATTTTTTTTAGTACTTCAGCAAACAAGCTTTACAATATACATGGAGTATGGGTTATGACCATATATGCTTCGAAAGGGATTACAAGATTTTAGTTAACTTACTACAAAATGATGATCAAGACATTGCTGTCTCCTGTGAAGCTCAGATATTGAGCTTATTGTGGGAAGTGGAATCGCTAGCCACCATGAAACAGAAAAATGTCACTCTAGAATCTTCATCGGAGCAACTAAGAGAAGTCATGCTATCCCCTCATCTATTCCTCCAGTTTCATGAGATAAATGATCAAATCCACCATCATCTTCATTCTCTGGAATGTTGGAGTTTGAATCACATTGCTGATGAAAGCAACCGAATGGCAGGGGAGATTGCAAGAAGCGTGACCAGAGAGCACAGGTATCAATCCTATATCTCTCATCAAAGTCCCTTCTGGCTCCATGCAGCTTTACAGATGGATACAAATGTCGCCGTTTGAAGCTTTTACCCCTGTTTTTACGTGAGTGCATACAGAGTACCTCTTTCAATGTATGCTTTTGTTTTTCAGTTAACAGGTGTTTCTAAACGGACTAAACCTGAGGCTTTATGCCATGTATAACGTCTATTGGCGTCAAAACACTCCCTCTTTCATTCTAATGAAATCCCAGCGATAAAAAAAAAGGACATTGCTGTCTCCAATCTTTAGCAAAAAAACACATTATTAATTGGACCATTTCTAGCCAAAACATGAGCTGCTACGCTGCAGTCTCATTTTAGTAAAAATAAATAAATAAATGTGTTGATCTATCCGGAAAGAATTTCCTCCCGAATAAACATCATATTTTTTTTTGACGACTAAGTCGATAATAAACATGTTCAAATAAATTAATAATCGAGGTCGTATAAATAGTACTAGATTTTGAACCCGTGTGTTAGAGATGAGATTCATACCATCTCTAAAAGCTCGACATAAAATCTGGTCGGTCCATTTGGGAATTCAAAAAATACATAGGTTGACCAAATAAATGGAAATCTTCTATTTATCGGGCTGTATCCGGGAAAAACGGAAGATTAGTCTTATCGGTAGGAAAACTTTCCTATTTCAAATATACATAGAAGACCGACCTGATCTGCTATAAATATAGGAAGTCCTTGACTTCTCAGATCCATCCGAAAATCCTCTCTCGAGACCTATGGCAAACTTGCAATCTATTGTTTTTAGTTCTCGAGCTTTCTTTCATTCACAGTTTAGGTCGGTGTTCTTATTCCGATGACCTAAACCTCCGTGTATCTCTCGAGCTCCGGCTTTAATCTAATAAAGATCTCTCTTTAAACCCACTAACTCGTATTCAGTCTTTAGATCGAATTTGAATTATCACCGCGCAACATAAAATATTTTTGAGCCACAACAAAAATCGCTTTATATTAAACTTTTGTTCAAAAAATCAGTTTATATTACTAAATCCAAAATTGTGGTCCCAACCGAAAATATTTATTAGATTATATATACTATTTTTACATTATGGTTTTATGTTCTTAAAATTATTTAGGCTTGATTTTATAAAAAAAAATTTTTATTAGCGGATTTTCTGTTAAATTTTGTAACAAATACTTCAAAATATTATGTCTTATAAGGCAAGAAAGTTTTTATTTGTTTGTAATTATTTACTTAGACTTTGTTTAGTTTTTGCATCAAGATATTTATAATATATAAATGTTCAAAATTTAGATATTTAAGATGCTAAAAAATATAATTTAGATGCAGCATTTGAATCTCAAAAATTAAAAGACTAAAACACCCTTTAATTTAAACCACAAAATCAAATTTTTTTTTGTCAAAACCATAAAACTAGAATTTTATATCGAAATAAAAAACTGCATTTTCTTGCAAAATACTAAAATCACGTTGCTGTATCAAAACTGGAAATTCCCATAAATACTTTAAATATAACATTGTTCATCAAACCGTATTTTCCTGCCAAAATTGTAAACCCACATTTTTTTAACAAAACCAAATATTATGTTTTCTACCAACACCATAAAACCGTATGCTATAGCCAAATTTCTAAAATTATGTGTTTTTGTCAAACCTGCAAAATTGTGTTTCTCGTCAAACCTTCATACCAACATTTTCAATAAAATTCATAAAACCATATTTTTCATCAAAACCTATAAAAACGCCAAAACATATAAACCTCGTAAAATCCGCAAAATTACATTTCCAGCCAAATTCACAAACCCATACTTTTTTCGTAAAATTGTAAAATCCGTAAAATTATAGTTTACGATCAATTTTTTAAACTCATGTGTTTCTGCCTAACCTGCAAAATCGAGTTTCCATATCCACAAAACCGCATTTTCCTGTATGATTATATTTCCCGCTAAAATCTGTAAAACCTATAAAATCCGCAAAATTGCGTTAAGTGCATTTCGCAATCTCATGTTTTCCCGTAATCCCCGTAAAATCTGTAAAATCGTGATCTACGACCAAATTTCTAAAATTATGTGTTTATGCTAAATCTATAAAAGTACATTTCTTATCAAACTAGCATTTTCTTGTAAAATTATATTTTCTGCTAAAACTTATAAAACCTGGTAAAACTTGTAAAACCCGTACAATCTAAAAAATTGTATTTGTCAAATCTGCACAAAATAGAATTTGGATGCAGCATTTGAATCTCAAAAATTAAAAGACTAAAACACCTTTTAATTTAAACCATAAAATCAAGTTTTTTTTTTCTCAAAACCATAAAATCAGAGTTTTCTATCGAAATAAAAAACCGCATTTTCTCGCAAGATACTAAAATCAATTGTTGTACCAAACCGGAGAATTCTTGTAAAAACTTTAAATATTGCATTTTTCATCAAATTGTATTTTACTGCCAAAATTGAAAACACACATATTTTTAACAAAACCAAATATTATGTTTTCTCCCAACACCATAAAACCGTATCCCACTACACACCATCAAGCCACTCTCCTTATGCTATAGCTAAATTTCTAAAATTACGTGTTTTTGTCAAACCTGCAAAGTTATATTTCTCGTCAAACCTGCATACCTTTATTTTCAATAAAATTCATAAAACCACATTTTTTCATCAAAAACTATAAAACCCGCCAAAACATGTAAACTTTGTAAAATTCACAAAATTACGTTTCCAGCCAAATCCACAAACCCGTATTTTTTCGTAAAATTGTAAAATCCATAAAATCGTGGTATACGACCAAATTTTTAAACTCATGTGTTTTTGCCATACCTGCAAAATCGAGTTTTCAAACTCACAAACATGCATTTTTCTGCATGATTATATTTCCCGCTAAAACTTGTAAAACCTATAAAATCTGCAAAATTGCATTACTCGCATTTTGCAAACCCGTGTTTTCCTGTAAACCCTGTAAAATCTGCAAAATCGTGATTTATGTTCAAATTTCTAAAATTATGTGTTTCTGCTAAATCTACAAAAGCACATTTCTTATCAGACTGGCATTGTCTCGTAAAACTATACTTTCCGCTAAAACTCATAAAACCCGGTAAAAATTATATAACCCGTAAAATATACAAAATTGTACTTGTCAAATCTGCAAAACCATAATTTCTCGCAAAAAAAAAATCATTATCAAACCAGAAAAAATTGTTTACATAATATTTTTTTATACAAAAAAATAATGATTACATATTCATCATTGACATAAATTTTTACATTTAGTAAATACCTCAGTAACTTTTAGATACACAAACAATTGATTATAATAATATATATAATTAATTTATAATATAATATATAATTATATTATTTTTTCATGGTATATGTGGTAACTATGTTAAGATCTTGCAAAAAAGTTTTGAAATAATTTTGAAATTAAATTAACTTGAATTTTACTTGTATCAGATATATTAGTATTATCTGTTAACAAACTAATTTAATTTAATTTAAATTAATGTATTTTTTAACAATTGAATGATAGGACTAAATTATGCTTAATGAATTAATGAAATTGTCTAGCATATGTAATGACACATTTTGTAAACACCATGATAGCTTTTGGCATTTTTAAAAAATGATTCTCTTTTAGTATATATATCGTTTTTCATATTTTCGAATAATATATACTGTATATATAACATTTGAAACCTTAGATTACATTTGAAACCCTAGACGACTAAGAGCGTGTGGTGTTTATCCAAGTGGCCCGGAACAAATAGCAGACCCCACCATCTTCCAAGTTGGAACACAAAATGAATAAAGGAGAAAACTCAGATTCCATCCTGATGGATCTCGTCATGGAGATACTATCGAGATTGCCTGCAAAGTCGATCAGGAGATGTCGTTGCGTGTCAAAGCTATGGGGTTCCATGCTTGTCATTCCATATTTCTCCGATTTGTTCTTGACCAGGTCCTCGGCTAGGCCCCATCTCTTATTCGCCGTCAAAAGATTCAATAGTTGGTATTACTTGACGTCACCTCAGCCTCAAAATCCATACGTGAAGTCATCGTCTCTTGTAGTAACGGCTGAACCATAGATGATGTTCCCTGAATACAGCAAGTTTTGTGGTCATGCCTTTGGTTTAGTCTGTTTCAGTGAACATACGCAGATCTCAAAAGTTGATGTGCGTATAGTGTATGTGATATGTAACCCTAGCACGGGACAATACCCGAGCTTACCTTCACTTAAAGGGAGAAGACAATTCTTTTTTGGGTTTGATCCGATTGACAAACAATACAAGGTACTGTCCATTGGTTATCTATTGTATGGTAAAAAGGAAGAGCCGGACCAAGTTTTGACACTAGAAACTGGAAATGATTCGTGGAGGGAGATTTATTATCCCTTAAACCACCTTACTTCGTATGGAGGACCGGCCCTGAAATTTTGGGGGCCAGAGTCAAATTAAAAAATATGTTTCAAATTTTTTTTGTTTTAATATGAAAGTAGGTCTCATATAAAAAAATCATAAAACATTAGTAAAAAACTACTAAAAACTTTAATGGGCCAACAAAAATCAAACAAATTATTGTATATACACTAAAATTTTTGGGCCAGTGAGAAATGGGGGCTAAAAA